AGCCAATTGCACACAGCAGCGTTCCACAAACAGTCGTGGATTGAAAATGACTGATTTATTATTGTTTTGTTTTGGAGGGATTATTATTGGAGTAAGGAAACTTGCCCGAGGTTTCGCCCTCTGCCTGGAATTGAACCCAGGTGTCTCGCTTGCAAAGCGAGTGCTCTAACCACTGCTACAGGACTCCACAGTTATACAGGACAGGACAAACAACACCACCACCTGCCACGGACTTCACAACTGCTAACCCAAACCCACAGTACCAGCACACAGGGATACTCTCACTGATACACAATCACCAGTATTTGCACTAAAATCAGTATTGTTTAACCATGTGTGAAGGGCGCTATATAAATGCAAGTTGTTATTGTAATAATAATAACCGTTCCATTTGATACAACGCCTTTTCATGTCATTGAGACGTCCCAAAGAACTTCACGGAACATGCTGTGAAGTGAACTGACTGCATTCGTGGGCAAAACATTGGCATATCAGCGTCCCACAAACATTTGTGGGGTGAGTGACCAACTTTTAATTGGGCGAGGGGTGGGGGGGGTGGGAATTATTACCCCTGGATAGGATCCGCCAATTGACTAACAGGTGGGTTCCTATTTACTCCGAAACATCTCCAGACTACGGCACTACTATCCCCTCACGTACCCCCCCGTACCCTCCGTTCCTCTGGCTCCGGTCTGCTCCACATCCCCCGCCCCAACCGCCCGACCATCGGTGGCCTTCAGCCTCTCAGCCCCGAGGCTCTGGAACTCCATCCCCAGTGCCTTCGCCGCTTCCTCCCTTTCCTCCTTCAAGGCCGGTCTCAAGACCTTTCTCTTTGACCTTCAGCCTTCAGCTCCCCTCTCGACTCTCTACCCCCTCCTCGCTCCCTCCCTTCCCTCCCCTCACCATTCCCCCCCTCCTCACTCCCTCCCTTCCCTCCCCTCACCCTGACCATTTCCCCCCAATGCTCGGGTCCTGCCCCAACTGTACAGCGCCTTGGGACGTCCTCGACGTGAAAGGCACTCTATAAATGGAACCTTGTTGTTGTTGTTGTTGTTGTACTGCGAGGTAAACATGTAGAGTAAGGAAACTTGCCTGGGATCACCCTGCCTAGGAATCGCTTGCGAGGCGAGCGTGCTACCCACCAGGCTACAGGACTCCAATAATAACTCAACAATCACCATTGCCATCTGTATGACACCTGATCTCATCGTCACAATATCTCCAAACACTTCACAGGACTTTACTGTATTTGGTGAGCGAATGCAGCAGACAATTGGGGCACAGCAACGCCACACAAACAGGCCATCAGGTGAAAAAAGTTTTTTTTTAATATAATTTTGGAGGATTGTTGGCCAGGACACCGGGAGAAACGTTTTGTTTTGAATAGTGCCACAGGGCAATGGATGCCCACCTGAACGGGCAGACAGGACCTCAGCCACAGTGATGTTTCAGTCACTGTGTTGGGGACATATAGCCTCAGTGCTTATAGCACTCGCCTCACAAGCGAGAGACGGGGGTTAAATTCCCATCAGGGCAAAATGTTGGGCAAGTTTGTGTTGGTGTAAATGTCACAGGGAGAGCACTACTGTATTGGTGTAAATGTCACAGGGAGCGCACTACAGCATTGGTGTAAATGTGATGGGGAGTGCACTACCGTATTGGTGTAAAAGTCACGGGGAGTGCACTACGGCATTGGTGTAAATGTGAACAGAGAGTGCACTATTGTATCGGTGTAACTGTCACGAGGGAGTGCACTACTGTATTGGTGTAGAAATCACGGGGAGTCCACTTCTCTATTGGTGTAAATGTCACAGGGAGTGCACTATTTTATTGGTGTCAATGTCACAGAGAGTGCACTACTGTATTGGTATAAATGTCACAAGGCGTGCACTACAGTATTTGTGTAAATATCACGGGGAGAGCACTAATGAATTGGTGTAAATGTCAGAGAGTGGACGACTGTGTTGGTGTAAATGTCATAGGCAGTGCACTACTGTATTGTAAATGTTACAGGGAGCGCACTAATATTTGAGAGAAAATGTCATAAGGAGTACACTACTGTGTTGGTGTAAATGTCACAGGATGTGCACTACTGTATTGGTGTAAAAGTCACGGGGAGTGCACTACTGTATTGGTGTAAAAGTCACGGGGAGTGCACTACGGCATTGGTGTAAATGTGAACAGAGAGTGCACTATTGTATCGGTGTAACTGTCACGAGGGAGTGCACTACTGTATTGGTGTAGAAATCACGGGGAGTCCACTTCTCTATTGGTGTAAATGTCACAGGGAGTGCACTATTTTATTGGTGTCAATGTCACAGAGAGTGTACTACTGTATTGGTATAAATGTCACAAGGCGTGCACTACAGTATTTGTGTAAATATCACGGGGAGAGCACTAATGAATTGGTGTAAATGTCAGAGAGTGGACGACTGTGTTGGTGTAAATGTCATAGGCAGTGCACTACTGTATTGTAAATGTTACAGGGAGCGCACTAATATTTGAGAGAAAATGTCATAAGGAGTACACTACTGTGTTGGTGTAAATGTCACAGGATGTGCACTACTGTATTGGTGTAAAAGTCACGGGGAGTGCACTACTGTATTGGTGTAACTGTCACGGGGAGTGCACTACTGTGTTTGTGTAAAAGTCACAGGGAGTGCACTACTGTTTGAGGGTAAGTGACATAGGGATTGCACTACTGTGCTGGTGCAAATGTCATAGGGAGTGCACCACGGTATTGATGTCAATGTCACAGGGAGTGCACTACTGTATTGGAGTAAGTTACAGGGAGTGCACTACTGTATTGGTGTAAATGTCACAGGGAGTGCACTACTGTATAAGTCACGGGGAGTGCATTACTGTTTGAGAGTAAGTGTCATAGGAAGTACACTACTGTATTGGTGTAAATATCAAAGGGAGTGCACTACTCAATTGGTGTAAATGTCACAGGGAGTGCACTACTGTATAAGTGTAAATGTCCCAGGGAGTGCACTACTGTATTGGTGTAACTGTCCCAGGGAGAGTACTACTATATTGGTGTAAATGTCACAGGGAGTGCACTACAATATTGGTGTAAATGTCACAGGGAGTGCACTACTGTATTGGCATAAATGTCACGGGGAGAGCACTCCTGTATTGCTGCTAATGTATTGGTGTAAACGTCACAGGGAGTGCAATACCTTATTGTTGTAAAAGTGACACAGAGTGCACTACAGTATTGGCGTAAAAGTTACGGGGCGTGAACTACAGTATTGATGTAAATGTCACAGGGAGTGCACTACTGGATTCGTGTAAATGTCACAGGGAGTGCACTACTGGATTGGTGTAAATGTCACAGGGAGTGCACTACTGTATTGGTGTAACTGTCACAGGAAGAGCACGACTGAAATGGTGTAACTGTCACAGGGAGTGCACTGCTGTATGTGTGTAAATGTCACAGGGAGTGCACTACTGTATTGGTGTAAATGTCACTGGGAGTGCACTATTGTATGTGTGTAACTGTCACGGGGAGTGCACATACTATTTGAGAGTAAGTGTCATAGGAAGTGCACAACTGTATTGGTGTAAATATCAAAGGGAGTGCACGATTGTATTGGTGTAACCGTCACAGGGAGTGTACTACAATATTGGTGTAAACGTCACAGGGAGTGCACTACTGTATAGGTGTAAATGTCACAGGGAGTGCACTACTGTATAGGTGTAACTGTCACAGGGAGTGCACTACTGTATAGGTGTAAATGTCACAGGGAGTGCACTACTGTATAGGTGTAACTGTCACAGGGAGTGCACTACTGTATAGGTGTACCTGTCACAGGGAGTGCACTACTGTATAGGTGTAAATGTCACAGGGAGTGCACTACAATATTGGTGTAAATGTCACAGGGAGTGCACAACTGTATTGGTGTAACTGTCACAGGGAGAGCACTACTGTATACGTGTAACTGTCACGGGGAAAGCACTACTGTATGTGTGTAACTGTCACGGGGAGAGCACTACTGTATGTGTGTAACTGTCATGGGGAGAGCACTACTGTATATGTGTAACTGTCACGGGGAGTGCACTACTGTATGCGTGTAACTGTCACAGGGAGTGCACTACTGTATAGGTGTAACTGTCACAGGGAGTGCACTACTGTATGCGTGTAACTGTCACAGGGAGTGCACTACTGTACAGGTGTAACTGTCACAGGGAGTGCACTACTGTATGCGCGTAACTGTCACGGGGAGTGCACTACTGTATGTGTGTAACTGTCACAGGGAGTGCACTACTGTATAGGTGTAACTGTCACAGGGAGTGCACTACTGTATGTGTGTAACTGTCACAGGGAATGCACTACTGTATGTGTGTAACTGTCACAGGGAGAGCACTACTGTATGTGTGTAACTGTCACAGGGAGAGCACTACTGTATGTGTGTAACTGTCACAGGGAGTGCACTGCTGTATGTGTGTAACTGTCACAGGGAATGCACTACTGTATGTGTGTAACTGTCACAGGGAGTGCACTACTGTATGTGTGTAACTGTCACAGGGAGTGCACTACTGTATGTGTGTAACTGTCACAGGGAGTGCACTACTGTATGTGTGTAACTGTCACAGGGAGTGCACTACTGTATGTGTGTAACTGTCACAGGGAGTGCACTACTGTATGTGTGTAACTGTCACAGGGAGTGCACTAGTGTCTGTGTGTAACTGTCACAGGGAGTGCACTACTGTATGTGTGTAACTGTCACAGGGAGTGCACTAGTGTCTGTGTGTAACTGTCACGGGGAGAGCAGTGGTGTGTGTGTGTGAGCTCGGGCCCGGGGCGGGAGGGAGGGCGGGCGGGAGGGTGTGTGAGTGAGCCCGGGCCCGGGCCCGGGGCGGGAGGGCGGGAGGGAGGGTGTGTGAGTGAGCCCGGGCCCGGGCCCGGGGCGGGAGGGCGGGAGGGAGGGTGTGTGAGTGAGCCCGGGCCGGGCCCGGGGCGGGCGGTGGGGGTCGCGGGTCCCGGCGCCACTCACCGTCCAGGGAGACGAACTGTCCGAGGGCGGAGGAGCCGCCGCCGCTGTTCTCCACGAACTGCACCTCGGACACGATGATGTTGTCCTCCAGGACGGCCCCGCAGGCCGTGCACACCGCGTCCCCGCGCGCCTGGTCCAGGTCGATGTCGGTGCAGCCGCACGTGCGGCACACCCGGGAGCTCGACATGGCCGCCCCCGCCCGCCCCGCGGGCCTCCCGGCCGGTCCGAGCCGCCCGGCGAGCCCGAGGCCGCCCTCCCGCACAGCCTCTCCCGGGTCAGGAGCCGCTGCCTCGGGGGTCCCGGGGGCTGCGGCCGCGCCGCTCTGAGGGGAGGGGGAGGAGCGCGCGCGCGCGCGCGCGGTCGATCCGCTTTGGTGGTGACTGTGAAGGCGCCGCTCCCGGTCCCGGTCCCGGCGTCAGCCTCTCCCCCTCTCCCGCTCTCCCGCTCCGCCCTCCGCTCCGCGATCGGAACCACTCCGAGGCCCAGGCGGCGCTGCGCGTGCGCGCGCACACTCCCCCCCCGGGAAGGTGTTGGGGCTGAGGGTGAGGGGGGAATCCCCGCCGCCGCCACAGCCCCCGCAGCCCACCCGCACCCCCAAACCGTGTCCGCCCGCACTCGGCAAACTCCGTCCCGCTTCGGGAACCCGAACCCCTCCGCGTCCGTCGCCCGCAGCGACCTCAGGCACTGTGTGATTGCTGGCAGTTGCCCCCCACCTCCCCTCCCGTCCAGTGGTGATGGTACAGTCCGCGTGTGCTCTCCGGGGGGGGGAGGGGGGCGGGGCCACCCACCACGTGACAGATTTAAAGGGGCCGCGCAGCAGGTGGTTCACAGGAATAATAATAATAATCCTCGCATCTGATACAGCGCCTCCATCACGTCTTAATACCAATAATAATAATCCTCGCATTTGATAAAGCGCTTTTCACGTCGGGAGGACGTCCCAAAGCGCTTCACAGAACACACTATGAAGTGAATTGACTGTATATTTGTGGGCGAACGCGGCAGCCAATTGCGCACAGCAATGTCCCACAAACAGTCGTGGATTGAAAATGACCAATTTATTGTTGTTTTTGGAGGATTATTATTAGGCTCTGTGTGGAGTAAGCAAACTTGCCCGAGGTTTGGCCCTGACCCCCCGGGGATTGAACTCAGGTCTCTCACTTGCAAAGCGAGTGCTCTAACCACTGAGCTACAGGACTCCACAAGACTCCACAGGACTCCGCGTCTTCGAGACGCCTCGAAGCGCTTCACAGAATATACTGCAAAGTGAATTGACTGTATATTTTGTGGGCGTAAAGCGGCAGCCCATTGCGCACAGCAGCGTCCCCACAAACAGCCGTGTCCCATTGAAGTGATCAATGTATTTTTTAGAGGGATTATAACCCACTAAAAAGCAATCCGCCAATCGACTAACAACAACAACAACAAGATTCCATTTATAGAGCGCCTTTCACGTCGGGAGGACGTCCCAAGGCGCTGGAGCAACCAGGTTCCTACTTACTGCTGGGTTAACAGAACCATGTGGAGTAAGGAAACTTGCACTGTCCTGGAATCGAACCCAGGTCCTCTGACTTGCAAGGCGAGTGTGCTAACTACTGAGCTATAGGAGAGAATAGGGCTTCTGTGTTCTCTGGACCAGGAGCTGGTGGGGTTCAGCCCCTATGTCAGGAGCCTTGAACTCACAGTCTAGATAGACAGAAGGTCGGTTCGCAGTCTAGACTGCACTGCCTTCCTCCACCTCCGCTGCATTGCCCGCCTCCGACCGTACCTTACCCCAGACGTAGCCGAAACCCTCGTCCATGCGTTCGTTATCTCTCAACTCGACTTTTCAAATGCCCTGTTTGGTGGTTTCCCCAGCCCACCATGCGCAGGATCCAGCTGATCCAAACCTTTGCCACCCGTATACTCACCAATACTAAGCTCTGTACCCCCATCACACCAGTCCTCGCCAGGCTCCATTGGCTCCCTAATGCCGAATGGATCGATTTCAAGATCCTCACACTCGTTTTCAAATCCCTTCATGCCCTGGCACCTCCCTACCTCTCCGACCTGCAACCCACAGCCGCCACTCGACTGGCCCCAACTCCTGCATGTCCCCCGTGCCCTCCATTCCACCATTAATGGCCGCGCTTTCAGCCACTATGCCTCGAAACTCTGGAACACTCTTCCTCTATCCCTCCGCCTTGCCCCCTTCCTTTCCCATCTTCAGGTTGCGCCTGAAAACCTTCCTCTTCAACTGTGCCTCCGGTCACCTCCACCTCCCCCAGGTCGGCATTATGCTCCATGACAGTCAAGCACTCTGGGATGCCACCCTGCATGAGGGGTGCTATACAAATATAAGTTGTTGTTGTTGATTGATGACTGGGCCACCAGTTTAGACGACTTTTTTGTTGGTCAGTAAAACAATCATAGAACAACAACAACGACATTACATTTGTATAGCGCCTTTCACATTGGGAGGACGTCCCAAGGGGCTGGACAGTCAGAGTTGCAGAAGACCCGCCCACCAATGGTGGGGCAAGCGAGGCGAGGGATGTGAAGCAGGCCGGAGCACACTGAGCGGAGGGAGCAGGCAGGATAGTAGGGGATTAGGAGGTCGCAGAGGTGAGGGGAACAATATCATGGAGGGCTTTGAAGGTGAGGACCAGAATCTTGAACTGTATCTTCTGTGTGATGGGAAGCCAGTGGAGTCGGGTGAGGATTGGGGTGATAGGGTCATGGAGCCCGGTGCGGGAGAGGACATGGGCTGCAGAGTTCTGAATGATCTGCAGCCTATGGAGAGAGGAGTTGGGAAGGCCGACAAGCAAGGACTTTGCATAGTCAAGCCTCGATGTAATGAAGGCGTGTGTGAGGGTTTTGGCGGCCTGCGGTGTGAGATAGTGGCGGAGCCAGGCAATGTTGCAGAAGTGGGGGAAGGCAGAACAGGTCATGGCACAAATGTGTGTTAGAAAGGTGAGTTGAGGGTCAAACAACAACAACAACAAAATTACATTTGTAAAGCGCCTTTCACACTGGACAGACAGAGTTTCGGACCGGGACTGGGGTCAGGGACAGGGAAGGTGGTGAACAGGGAGGGAAGCAGGGAAATCGAAAATATGGTCTAAGAGGAGATTCTTGAGATGGGTCTTGAATAAGGGAAGGGAGGGCTTGAGGTGGAAAGACTGCCGGATGGAGTTCCAGAGGTGGGGGCAGATTGGCTGAAGGCCCTCTCGCCATTAGTGGGGTGAGCGAGGTGGGGGACGTGAAGCAGGCCGGAGCCCACTGAGCAAAACGCCAAGGTTCGGGACTGGCTCAGTGAGGGGGAGTGGGCGGCCATGGACGGTGATGCTGTCAGTGCCTGAGGTGAGGAGGCGCAGACGGGACAATCAGGAGAGCCTCGGTCTTGTTGACGTTCAACTGAAGAAAGTTCGCTCTCATCCAGAACTTGATGTCTGACAGACATTGTGTCAGGACAGCAGTGAGTCCTGGAGTCGAGGGTGGAGGCAGAGAGGTAGAGTTGGGTGTCATACATGTGTAAGTTGACCCCATGTCTGCGGAAGATATCACCAAGAGGGAGCGTATAGATATTGATGAGGAGGGGACCAAGGACAGAGCCCTGAGGAATGCCACACAGGACAGAGCGGGGGGTTAGAGGAGAAGCCGTTTGTGGAGATGAAGTGGAGGCGGTGTGAGAGGTACGATCTGAACCAGTCAAGGACAGAGACGTGAAGGTTGAGGTGAGAGGAGGTTGTGGCTGTGGATAGAGTGGTCAAGGAGGACGAGGAGGCAGAGGGAGCCCTGGTGGCAGATGGACAGAATGTCATTTGTTACTTTGACCAGGTGGTGTCTGTGCTGGGGGTGGCATGGAAACCCGATTGGAGGGGTTTGAGAAGGGAGTGGCGGGAAAGGAAGGAGCTGAAGCTGGGAAGCAACAACTCGTTCCAAGACCTTGGAGAGGAAAGAGAGATAGTTTGAGGGTAGAGATGGTTCCAGGGACGTTTTTTTAAGGATCGGAGTGATGACGGCCATTTTTAAACCGGTGGGAACAGTACCAGTGAACAGGGAGAGGTTCATGATGTCTATGAATAGAGGAGCAAGGAGGTGGAGCTGGGAGCTAAGGAGTGGAGTAGGGATGGGGTTGAGGGAACAGGTGGTCGGTTTTATGCGGGTTATAGTGGTGGCGAGAGAGGAGTGGGAGACAGGTTTGAAGGTATGGAGGGAGGGATGGGTAGGGGCAGGGGTGGGAGGGGAAGATGGGGAGGGTGTAGTAGACGGGTTACTATAATAGAAATAACAAAACAGCATAGATTTATGCCATAACTCAAGAAATATTCAATCAAGAAATATTTATTTTCTATCTGTCTTCTCAACAACAACAAAATTGCATTTATAGAGCCCCTTTCACGTCGGAAGGCCGTCCCAAAGCGCTGAACAGTTAGGTGTCGGGGCCCGAGCATGGGGGAGGGATGGTGTAGGGGTAAGGGAAGGCAGAGAGCAGCCCTGAAGGAGGCAAGGGAGGAAGTGAGGCGAAGGGACCGTGGGATGGAGTTCTAGAGTATGGGGGCAGAGAGGCTGAAAGCCCGGCCACCGATGGTAGGGCGAGTAGAGTGGGAGACATGGAGCAGCCGGAGCCCAATGAACGGAGGGAGCGGGCGGGTTGGTAGGGAGTCAGCAGGTCAGAGAGGTAGGAGGGGGCAAGGCCATGGGTGGCCTTAAAAGTGGGGACGAGGATCTTGAATTTGATCCTCTGTGGGATGCGGAGCCAGAGGAGTCGGGCGAGGGTGGGAGTGATGGGGTCACGGAGTCTGGTGCGTGAGAGCACACGAGCTGCAGAGTTTTGATGATCTACAGCTTGTGAAGGGAGGAGTTGGAAAGGCCGATGAGGAGGGAGTTCCCTTAGTCGAGCCTTGATGTGCCGAATGTGTGGGTGAGGGTTTGGGCAGCCTGAGGGGTGAGGCAGTGGCGGAGTCTGGCAATGTTGCGGAGGTGGTGGTAGGCAGTGCCGGTCATGGCGTGGATATGGGGGAGAAAGGACAGTTCAGAGTCAAAGAAGACCCCCAGGTTCCTGACTGGCTCAGTGAGGTTGAGTGTGCAGCCGTGGAGGCTGATGCTGCCAGCGCCCGAGGTGCGGAGGAGCTGGAGTGAGCCAATCAGGAGGGCCTCAGTCTTGCTGACATTGAGTTGGAGA